AGAATTTACGGTATATATATATATTTTTTTTTTTTTTTACTCTTTATTATTGCTTACTGTAGATACATGAAAGTGTTGGTGAGTAGCTGTTTCTTGTAGCCTTTTACAGGCTTATGAGGATCAATACTTGCTTTTCATTAATGGCACAAACCTTTGTTTTTACCGTTTTAAAGAGCAGCTAAGAAACGTTGGCCTCTGCTTTCTACATATTTAGACAAGTTAACAGTACTATATCAGCACTATAACTGTAATAACTTGTGCAATAACTAATGTGAAATCAGTATTTAATAGCCTGTGCAATAGCTATATATATAAATACCCATTTAAAAACCTGTTTGGTGCAAGGATGGCTTATTATGAAGGGTTTGTCTTGTAACTGGTGGGTTAGGTGTGTGAATGAGTAAATGTAGTGTAAAAAGCTTTGGAGTACTCTTATATACTATGTACTCTTAGATCGTTTGATTCGTTTCATGTCCCTGCATCTCATAATTTTGCATTAAAAGGTCATACTGCTGATGGGGAAAAAGGATCAGTTTCTCCAGACATGAGGCTTGTTTCTGTCTCCTTCAGCTCGGTTTTGCAGATCTGAATTTAGCAGAGTTCGCCGGCTCAGGAAATACGACTCGGAGGTGTCTTCTGGAAGGATATGATACCAAAAATACCCGGCAGGATAACTCCATTCTCAAGGTAACAATCATTTACCCACAGAAGACTCAGTTTAGTTCCCCTGTATGTAAGAAATATAGCCCTTGGGTCTCATTTATAAAACATTAAGTGGATTTATTAAACCACGTGGACACATAAAACCAAGTCATTTTACTGTATATATCACAGCTGTGCTTCAAGGTTTACATCCAAGGCTCCACCTCACCTTTGACCCATTTTACATCCACATTGGTCTATGCAAAGCATGTGTGTATTTAAATGAGCCAGCTGATCAATATTATTTAACAGTTACCAATGGCAACCGTGGCCCTGTTTTGTGGGTTTGCAAGCTTTATAAAGTTTTTCCTAATAAATTTTCTTTTTTTAATAGCTGGGAATATGTACCGTAATAAACAGTTTAACGTTTTATTCTTTCTAGGTTATCATTGGCACACAGCTCATGTCAGGGGATCCCTGTTTCAAAACGTAAGTTAAATAAATAAATGTTATACCATAGTGTGATATTAAATGGGACAGCTAAGTCAACGTTAGCTTCTACTAAGCTCATGTTGTCTACAGCTATGCTTTAATATGGAATTAGTTGTATAATCCTAAATATTTTGGATAATCACTTCAAGAACATAAAAGTCCCACAATCTTCTGCTATTTTTTAAACAGAGGCTTAATGAACAGAAATGGTTCATTAAGTCTCATGTTTATTTGTTGGTATTTTGTTTTGATTGCAGCCTGATCCACTGGGGAAATGTGACGTCTGACATTTGCAGTCAGGGATGGTTTAATCTGTATGGAATTCTAATGATGGCTTTATTTTCAATAATCCTTTGCGGTTTGGAAGGATTATTAGACTTATAGTATAAAAGTGGATCCAAAAATTAACAGAGAAGAACATTCGATGATTAATGACAATAATTTGCTTTCCTATTCTTTAATGTGAAATTTCTTATACTAAGAATTTTTTTGGGGTTGATATTAATCCTTATTCTGAAACTGAAATCAGCATCAGCCTGCCTGTGTTCCGTTGTTTTTTTCCTTAAAACAAATAAAGGACTCATTGAAATACAAGGAGGAAAATAAAGATGCATTGTCTTTCTACTGTTACCAGGCCTCCATCCACAGCCACGGTGATCGGGATCCAGAGTGATGGAGAGAGCCTGCTGGAGGAGAGGAAGGGAGGAGACTCGCAGAAAGGTTTCTCTGGTGAAACTAATCACGCCACATCATCCCTTTTAGTTTATTGAAACGTCTTCAGGCCTCTTTGTCCTAACAATGGTGAATCTGTGAGTCATGCTCTTCACGTGTCATCCCTAGCTCTATATGGTAAATTGGAAAGTAAGCCACCAGAAGTCTGGCCTGTAGGGCAAACTAGAATAAAATGCAACCAACACCCAACATCATCCTGAAGGAACATAACCTACAGTGAAACATGGAGGAGGTGGCATCATGGTGTAGTAATGCTTCTGTTCAGCAGGGACATGGAAGCTGGTTAGGGCTAATGGAGGGAACTGAATACAGGGCCTGTTTGAAGCTGCAGAAGACTCTAAACTGGGGCAGAGGTTCTGCTTTTATTGTAACAGTGATGGTAGGCATGCAGCCAGATCTATAAGAGAATGGTGGAGAATTAGATTAGAGTAACTCAGTAAAGTACAGGGAGTTTTCAATCTAATTATTAAGAATCTCTGACAAGACTTAGAAACTTCTGTTAACAGTTGCTTTGATCCAATCGAACAGAACTTCAGCTATTTTGCAAACATCAAATGTGCAAAACTGGTAAAGACTCACCCAAAAGCATTTATGGTTATAGTTGCAGTGAAAGGTGGCGCTAAAAGCATAGAGTCCGGTAGACTAAGAACATAATGTAAGCTTATTTTTTGAGTAAGTGTATTCGTACAAAAAAGAAGAAAAAAAAAAGTTATGCATCATTTTTCTTCCACGTCATGATTCTTTACAGTTCTCTGTTGCCCCATCTCATACAATCAAAATTAAAAGGACTAAAGTTTGTGGTTGCTGAGAAAAAAATAAATAAAAAGTTTGTTTTGTATAAATACTTTTGTGAGGCAGACTAAGTAGTGTTTGCTGTGGCACCTCATGCAGATAGAACACTTAAGTACTTAAGTCTTCTCTCACACTTGACATAGAAAAACAAACATCTGGTAAGATAAAGTCGACTCATTGAGTCATTAAGACACAGGTCAGCTAAGCGCGCGCAGCAGGACTGGGTCTTAAGTCTGCACATGGTCTGCTTTTCAGAGCAACCTACTAAACTGTGTCAGCGAATAAGTAAATAACAGTGCTGTCTAAACTGATAATCCAGGGCTTTCCCTCCAGTCATTAGCTGCAGCGTTGCAGCATTTTATCACAGCAGCTGAGCCGAGCGGTTCGGCGTAGCAAACCATCTGGTGAACAAAGTCAGGATTTATCATCTTTCTGTAAGTTCATTTTCTAAAGCAATGATGCATGAATATTTCATTCTATACAGTTCAAAAATACTTCATTAATCCCAAAGGGAAGTTAAATGTTATAACTCATTGGCTTTTTTTTCCCGATGTGTTGTAGATGTTGATAGTTGTAGGTATAGGTCTGTCTTGCACCAGATCTGGAGAAGTGTTTCACTTAAGACACTCTGTTGATGTTTAATAGTCCTCTGAAGAGGATGCTCAATTCCATCCATAGTGTTCTTCACTTTATGAAGAATTCATAAATGGCTTCCTAGAACAGAGCTGGCCTTCTTTATTAGCTTTGTGGGCTTCTTTAAGTCAGAACAAACAAAACTCCACAACAGACTTATTGAAGATGCGCAGCATCTTGCTGTAAGTGATTCACGAAATCTGACTTGGTTTAACTTGACATTTCTGGAGTTTTTTTGCCCATTTTCAACTTTATTATCCAAAATGATTTTATGACTGTTTAAAGGCAACCAAAATCTAGTTATGTTCACATAATCCACAACCTCTTCCTTTATGTATTCTTAAAGCTTTATACACTTCTATAAGGCATAAAAAGTTTCCTGCTTATTATAATGTGTGAGGCTGTTTTTCCAACCAGAAATTGTCTATGTATTCATTTTTTTTTATTAATTTTTTTGCTTTTTTGCATCCATAATTTGCTTTTTATCCCTTATTCCCTTTTACATCAGAATCTCTTCCCCAGCTGTCCCCTTCTGCTATCTGTCTCCTCTCCTCCCTTTAGTCCTGTGTCTTCATGTGTGAACACATTGCAATGCCGAATGCTTGCGAAGAGCACAGCTCTTTCATGTATAATTTAAAGAGGCTCTTTTAGATCAACTGCAATCTGTTCTGACCTGTGGGCTTTCACATGGTTAAAAATAGGACTGTGGGGGGTGGTATTTGTAAAATGTGGTGGTCTAATGACGGTACTATTTTTCTAAGCATTGTTGCTTATTTTCTATTGAGCAGTAGGACGGGCGGGGGGGGGTGTCGTGGCTACTTTAAGTTCAGGCAGGAAGACTTCTCATACACTTCATAGACACTGTTTCTCTTACGACCCTCGTCCATTTTCAAAGAATCGCGGTTAGAAAGGTGAGCTTAAATGACTGTCTGAAAGCGTAGCTCACCACACATCTACTGTACGTCTAAAAGTGCGCAT